GCGCACCTAAAGCTATCCGTAAACAGCTGACTGAGTCTTATATCTGTAGTGGAAATTAATAAAAAACATACTTAAGTGAGAACTGAATTAACCGAAACGTGCGGCAAACGACGATCGATCTCTTTGATCAAAAATGAGCTAATTGTAACTAATTTTGGTGGAAATTTGGATATGCGTTATTTCTTATAAGTAGAGGTCCAGATGTAAAAAATAGCAGGTGTAGAAGATAAGTACATACACCATAGTGCTTTTTATTCTTCTTTTAAAGGTAAAATTGTAGGATAAACGATACATGACTACACCATGTTTAGGAAGTTTCATATTAGAAAATTGTGACAAAGAATTCGAGATAAATATCAGTTTACTTGTCTGATCTGTTTTTAATTTTACTTTAGATCTATAATCAGAGTTGAATTATACCACAGAATCTAATTTTTGGCTTTAAAACTTAAGAATTGCCGGACACAAAAAGTAGACTTCCGCAATAAAAAGTCAACTACCAAAAATTGAGTGCACGCGTTTTAAAACGCTTTTATGAAAAAATCCGAGTGATTATCATGAAATTGATGCTACCGACCTATTTTCTTATAGAATTCCACGTTGTGTTCGAGGACGTCACAGAGACACGAGATTGCATGAAAGGCAAGAGAGCAAGATTGAGAGAAGAACACATTTTTTAAAATTTCCGAGTACTACATAGATGAGTACTATTGTTGTGAATACAACAATTTATTAAGCCTGTAGAATGAAAAATGAATAAATAGATTGATGAATCATTACACAAACAAATTCCCTTGGCAGTATTCGAATACAAGACCTTTCCAGCAGAAGCAGCATTGGCACATTGCAACATTGCTAACGTTGCACTATGGACAGCTATGTGGAATTGTTATAATAATTTGTGTCGTCGAGTGTAGAGCACGGTTTCATGTAAATTGGTGAAAATAAACTGTTTATTTCGAAGATGCCTCAGCGTTGTAATCGAGGATGTTGTCTAAGATAATAGCGCTGCTGCGGTGCGTCGCTCAAAAACGTTAATTACACGTTTTAGTTGTAAATTCTGTTTTCGCTATCCCATTAACAAACGCTGTACCGAAACGCGTGCTCCTAATAAGCTGTTATAATCTCATGAACATTAATTTATGTACATTTTTCTCTTTTAAACACTCACACATACTGGAAAAGGCTTTCACTTTTTACGGAAACTGAAGCAAATATGTGTTATTGCAACTTATACACTTAAAATTTTCTGTAGGAACCTTAATAATTAATTAGTAGGTAAAAGGTAATTACGAGAACTTGTGTAAGAAATTATATTTTTTGTGTGTTATACATAAATGCCCAGCAACTAAAATTTATTGTGTGTTGAAAATTAGCAATTTATAAGCGAATATATTGGTCATACGAAGTTCATCTATAGTTAGTTCGATATATTGTATCTTATTCTTGGGTTAGAGTAGGTAGGTAAACCTTTTACTTCTTTAAGTATAATTTCTCCTTCTCCTCGCCTCGGTTTCCTCAATGTTGAGGGTCGTGTTCGTGCGTGACCCGTGGGACCCGTGGATTCCTTTTATCATCTGCGATATACTATTAATGTTATTACTTCCGCTTTAGAGACGGTCGTTTATTCACTAGTTATCTTTACCCTATTATGTCCCTACTGCAGGGGCGTATTTTAAAAACTAGCGCCCTGGGCCCGTAAATCAAATCAAAATAAAGATCAGGAACGAATGACTTTATTTTAATATGATTATTCACATTTTTTAAATCATAAATGTAAGGAAATTATACTACAATTAATTTTTTTTCGTAACCTGGGATGAGTGTTTTTTTCTGGTAAAATTTTCTTTAGATTTTCAAATATTTGTTTTAGACCTACAAGGCTTACCACTGTATTTAGGACTGGGTTTCTAATATTTCTGACCACAATTGCTTGAAAGTAGCTCAAGCACGATTATTCGACTGTTGTAACAGAAAAGTTTGTAAAAAATTATGCAAGCTTAAGTATCAGAGATTATTATTTATTATACCTACTCTTGTTAAGTTTCAATGGCAGTATAATTTAAGTTTATATGCATAGTCAAATAAATAGTACATGCATCTCATTAAGAGTATTCCTTACAAAATATTTAACCAAGACCTAATCGCTCATTAATGTATGTAGACATGTATTGATTTGATATTACCATATCTACTTGTATACAATTCGGCAAATTCATTTAATCCGAGACATCGCATTCTGAATTTCAGAGTTTAATGAAATATAAAATGTCAAGGTTTGTAACATTAGACACAGCGCTGAAGATTTCTAGAAATTAGCAGCCCTCAGGCAAATTGTGTAAAAGATGAAGTTCCCAAGTCCATGTATAGCGAGCTTAAAATGAGTCGACTTCTCATGAATTTAGGAAACATGTCCCAAGGTTAATACTTCATTAAAAAAAAGTTAAAGATCAGTTCATTTGTACATTGCAAGTGTTTAATTGTTTAAATTATATTTTAATTCCTTTACTGAATACTTCATCTCATAAAATTATCACAAATTATGCCCGCATATTGAGATATTTACAGTTTGGTTTAAAAATATTGCTTGTAATTGTTTTGTATTTTTTTAAAAAAAATATTGTAAATTGTTGTGAGCTTAAAAAAAAACAAAAAAGCTAAGCCTAGATACAGTCTCTGCACTATAACAAAAGTCTTGTTAAATCAGTTCTACGAGTTGGTAACATCATTAATTTGGTGAAATTGATTTGAAAAAGAGACCATCTATAAACAAAAAAAAAACCGCTGTATAGGATCTTTGGGCTTACTGTATAGTTATAAATGTGAAATTGCTACTTTTGTTTCTATGTTTTTTCTCAAACAAGCAATGAAGATGGGATGAATTAAGGTCACATTTATAACTTACACTGAAACCTACGCACTTTTAGTTATAATGGTAAAACAAAACGCTAGGTTTTTCTAGTATCTCAAAAAATCTAACTAGAAGACGAAATGTTTCAAAAATTATTTTTCTGGCATATTCATTTACATTAAAGGATCCTTAGAGAACTTTTGAATTCTAAATGCAAAGCGGACAAAGTCGCGTACAAAATGTAGTTAACAATAAAGATAATGTCAAATCTATGCTCGGTGGGACAGATCTAAATGTGAGACGATGACTCATTGACAATCTGGAAATAGAAGTAGCCGCATTGTTTCCAGCGACAATGCTAGGTGTACTAATCCCAATTCCTATTTGCATTTAATTAGAAGTATTCTAAACCTTCCAATGACTACCATAAGGTGCAAATTCGTTAGAATGGTAAGACTTATTGTATTGGATATTGGTTGCGTTTAAAACAATTACAGATCTGACTATCCGATCTCCGATTGAAAGGCGCTTTTGATATCTGCAATTAAGTCTGAAAAGTTTGCAAGAGCGAGTTACAGCTTACAAATTTTAAACGGGCTGTGACTCTTTTATTTCAATGACACGTTTGAAGTAGATATCTACAACACTAATCATTTTAAAAAACAAAATATCTTTCGTAAATGTTTAAGATTTAAAATCTACGAAAATACGTCTGAGTAAACGATATAGTTGTAGGGATAAGCCCCGTAGCATGAGCTATACAATTTACATTATATCACGTTTTATATCATTACCCCTAGCACGAACCATTATCGAATTCGAATAGTTTGCAAACCGAAATGTCAATTTCAAATTTTGTATGGAAATTTGAACAGCAGCGCCGCTTTTTCGCAAACGTTACTAATTCGATATTGGTTCGTGCTAAGGGTACATGTCTAACCTTAGATCATATATGCTCTAAGCGTCTAACTGTCAAACTCCATAGTAATTTGACACTTAAGCAGGATATCATATCGCGGTGCTCATGCTAGGGCTGAAACAGAAATCTGATTCAGGATAAAAAAGTACCCATAGTATGGGTGTACCTATTTATAACCCGCATGATTTAAAAAAGAAAGTTATAAACCGTAATGTTTTTTCCGCAACCCTTTGTCACGGTAATAATATTACCGTGCCTTTGTTATTGTTGTAATGACTTATTCATACCTATAAGAGTACACATATAAAGTTTTAAGAATAAGTTTTTCAATTAATTTATTACAAAAATAAATTGCAAATACTAATATTGTGGTCACCAAAATCAACAAAAACTAAAAAACTTATAAAAGATGCGTGATTCTATTTTAAATGTTTCCTTGCCGATAAAATGTTTAACAATGTCTAACAAGATGTTTAACAAGATAGAAGAAGCAAACATTGTCTATAATTCAGTTCCTATTTTAAATTTGCACAACTGTCATATTTTTATTTTTTAAGCATTAATCATAAAAATGCGCTTTGCAGTCTAAGAAATACTAGAGAGAATTCGACATGGCCATCAGGGTCGCGGTAGCATAATGGCCAGTGCATTCGCCCGGATAGGGTTCGAGTCCCGTCTACTGTCTGGTCTACGTGGATTTTTTGTATTTTTTCTTTGCATGACTGTTCTCTACAGTTACTTATTTATTTAACACAAGGCTGGTTAATTTACTATTTTTAAGTCGTGTTTTTAATAATCCGTAATAGGGATGATTTCTACCTTATTTTCTTCATCTATCAAAAAGTATTGGACACGTATTTTTCACATTCACACAGTGAAAATATTACAGAGATAATAATACATTGATTTAAAAGATCACAATTACGTCACGTCTTGGTACAATTTTTACTTAGAAGAGACGTCACGAGTCCCCACCTCCCAAACTTTGAGCGTGCGTGACTTTTTACTATATAACAATAACAAAAAATAAAGTGTCCATTATTTTTTGATTCTAACGGACGGACTAAATAGAACTTCGTTTGTTATTTACCGTAAACGTTATTCGTTTTTTACCCCGTTATCATCCCTATTATATTCAACTGCATTATTAATATCAAACAATCAAGCATTAAATCGACAATACTTAACAAGATTATTAATAAAAGAGCAAATAAAAAAATATAAGCTTACTGTCTCATGGAGCCCCATCGCCTGTGCGGCAGGTTTTCTTGATGGCTGGAGGACAAACAAAAAACGTGAGAAGCGAATGCAAAGTGCAAAAAAGGCAAAACAAAACAAAATGGACAGCAAAAAAAAAGCACACCAAAAATAAAAACTTAATAAAATTACAAAAGTAGCGAAGCAAAGTTTGAATAAAAAAAGAACTTTAAAATACTTTTAAGTCTTAAAATATTGTTTAAACCCTAGCCATATTGAGTAGGTTTTGAACTTATCTTTACCTATACAGATATTGCAATCCACAAATACGCGCCCCACTATTCCTCCTAACCGTTTATAGTAAAAGTGTGCCAGCTTCCACCAATATCGGTACACACTAGTTATCTATGATAGTAATAAATAATAATATGATAATTATCTTTTTATCACTAATTTATCCTTCAACTAAAAAATGGTGGGGCGCATCTTCGTGGATTACACTATCTGTAACTAGCGAGCGCAATGTCGAGCGAATATGTCAATTTACTTTTAAGTTTGAATAAAGTTGATGATGTCACCTTCTATATAGTATACATGCACACATGAACCTATTAGAATAACACAACACGTGACTTTTTTGACAAGCATTGAATTTAATTGTTTCTGAGTAGGATTTTCAATTTCGATCTAAGAAGGCATTGGTTCAGTCAAAGATAAATTGTGAAATAAAAAAACATGCCGACTGAATTGATAACCTCCTCCTTCCGTTTTGAAGTCGGTTAACTACCTATCTCCAAGGAATGATTTAGTTACCTCTATACTGAGTACTGAGAGAGCTACCCAAAAAAGGACTTAAAATATGGAATTGGGCGGCCATCTGCTGATTCCCTTTCAATTCAATCAAGCCAAAACAAGACTTTCTTTTGTTGGTCTTTTCTTTAAGTTTCTGTTGGTGTTGGCGAGCACGGTTTCACAGCTCTTTCACGAGACTAACTCACTCACTTCCATCTTGGAATCCGCGATGTGATTTAATTAGAATACGAATCAAACTAATACGAATAACACTTATAAAGTGCGAAAGATTGTGAGCGTATATGTTTGTTACTTCTTCACGTCTAAATGGTTGGAGCGATTTTAACAAAATTTGGTATGGAGTTAGCCTGGATTAACACATAGGCAATATTATATATATAGGCAACGTTTTACTGGGGAAAATATCCCTAATAAACCACGGGTAACATCGCGGGGCACAGCTAGATTACAAAATAAATTTTTAATCACACTGGCGTATTCCGTGAAAAGCGAGTTTGTTTTTACAGAATAGCATTGCTGGCCAGAAGACGAGGTTGTTTTGAGAGACATGTCCTTACACCGTGAATTTTGAGTTACCTGAGAAAATTTACATAATTAATTTAGACAAAGGTTAAGGTTAAGTATATGAAATGGAAAAAAAAAAATTAATTCCGCAAAAAATAGTTTTTTTTTGCGGACACGTAAAGTAAATAATTGTGCGATTACGAAACCTCAATAATCTTAAATTTACTAAAAAAAATACTTTTAGGATCTACGTACGTTATTTACTTTGCGCCATATATTTTGGTGTAGTACCTATGTTTACTGTTCAGAACTATTCTCACTATTTTTGTTTACACAACCTTTACGTTTCTTAGGTAACTCAAAATTCACGGTGTATATTTTTCTGCCGCCACAGCTTTTTACTCAAGTGTACTCCATTTACACTTAACATCAGATGGGGCGGTAATGTTCTGCACAGTAAAAAAGACAACCGATTTTTCATCTGTCAATAAGAAAGGTATATAGGCTGGGGTTCATGGCGTCGCCTACTCGAGGGATCCCGGTTTCGAATCCCGGTGGGGGCAAATGTTATTTGATATAAATACGAGGATGGATGTTTGTATATATTACTACATAAATATACTGATAAATGTATCAAATATATGTCTTATAGCCGTTATCTTAGCACACCATAACACAAGCCTTACAGTGCTTACTTTGGAGCTAGGCTAATTGGTGTTGAGGTATTTCTGTGTTTTGTGAGTAATACTTGCTTACTACATATTTAAGAGAGATAGTTCCACCCACTCATACGTTACTTAAACGTCAAAAGCGTGTATGATATTTATAGCCAAACAGTGAAGAAGTCAGTTAAATTTTGATTCCGCTTTATTTTACTGATCTGTAACTCACCTAGGAGGCGTCCGTCGCAGACTGGTCCTCGTCCATGAATGTCGGTTCAAGTGACTCCCTGGACTTCTCGTGCCGTTCTCCACTCTGCGAGCAAGGTATGAAAAACACATTATTAATAACATATGGATTTTAATGATAATAATTCTGATTAAATATTTAGCCCCAATATAATAAATGTAAGTAGGGGGTAAAATAAATAAATATAAATATTTCCAACGCTCACACCAATTAGCCTAGCCCCAAAGTAAGCACTATAAGGCTTGTGTTATGGGATGCTAGGGTAACGGATAGAATACATATACTGTACATATATAAGTATATTTATATAGAAGTACATATTAAACATCCATGACTGGAGTACAAATGCAATCATCTTCATCACACAAACATCTGCCCCCACCGGGATTCGAACCCGGGACCTCTCGAGTCGGCGACACCATGAAACCCGGCGTACAAACCACTCAGCCACGGAGGTCGTCAAGAGTTAACCTAAACAATTAACATAAGAGATACATAAATCAGAATTCGGAACCGGTAATTATAAAGCATAACTCAAGTACACTTTTAACATAAATTGGGTGGTAAGAATAGTTTGTTCGTGAGTTTGAAAAAAAGGTAGCTGATATCTTCTTCTTGGCTGTTGATTTATTTAGTAAAAATATTCGTGTAATAGAAAACGTAAGGGAATGAGGTCAGAGTAAGCAACCACATCATTAGCCTATCAATGTTCCCACTGCTGGGGCTCAGGCCTTCCCTATGGATAGGGAGACTGGCCTATGACCCACCACACGGCTCCAGTGCTAACTGCAGATACCGGAATGCAGCCGGCACCAATGGGCTTGACGTGCCTACCGATGAAAGGCGGAGATCGAGATAGTAAATATTTAAGTCACCCATCCTATATGTAGTCATTGCGAAAGTTGCTTAACTTCCACGATCGCAGACTTAGCTCTAACTACTTGGTGCTCAAGTTCCTCAAAACGAGGAATAGGCAACGCTCTTATCAAGTGATATTTTGATACCGCAGGCGTTCTAAGGCTATCTAAAGTGACCGCTTACTTTCAGGCTTTTCTTGAAATTTTGTTAAAATATTTAACTGCTGCATTATTAACATGATGTTCATACGAGAAGGAGAAACGTTTAACCCAGTTTTAAGCATATTATGCGCTCGGAAGAGTGAGAGTTTTTGCTTAATTAAAGTTTATATGTAGAAAGAGTGCAGAAAGTTGTTGTTTTATATCAATAAAATCAACAGTTCTTAAGTTATACCTTTATCATATGCAGTTGTGACATACACACACCAATATTTATACCAGTACTTGCGGCCGCCCGCGACTTTGGTATTTGAGAATCCCACAGAAACCTATAATTTTTCAGGGATAAAAAGTACCCTATGCCTCAATCCAGGTCATGAACTATATGTGTACAAAATTTCATCCAAATTCATTCAGTACTTTTTGCGTTTATAATAAATATTAGTAGCATTCTCTTTGACAGAGCAACCTAAGACGAGTCCAATTTCGATTAATAGGAAAGTAATTCAATGAATATTAACACTTGGCTATTCTGCAAGTGCAAGTGCACAAGCAGTGCTGTTATGCTCTTTTCTAATAATAAAGTCACTTCACCGCAGAATTCGCATGCGTGATTTGAAATTTATTAGAAACTAGCTGCGCCGCGGTTTATTAGGGATATTTTCCCGCAGTAAAACGTAGCCTATGTGTTAATCTAGGGTGTCAGCTAACTCCTAAATACCAAATTTTATTAAAATAACTCCAGCCGTTTAGACGTGAAGAAGTAACAAACATACAGACTCACAGACTTTCGCCTTTTTAATATTAGTGTGATTCGTGTTCTAATTTTACCGCGGAATCCGGAGTGAAAAGTGAGTTTGTTCTCGCAGAATAGCACTGCTGATTGCTAATCTAGCGTAATACTTGGGAAAAGGTGAATTTATTCTTGTAAAAGTTTTCTTTGTATACCGATAGAGAGAAATAATCTATACAGTATTTGCGGCGTATTCAAAATGATGGAAAGTGTTTCTACCTACAACTATTTTCACTTCTCCCTGTAGTTTTTAATTATTTTGTTTTGTGAAATCTATTTCTAGTTGTGAACACTTTCACCGCCTCGTTAATGTATGAAATATTTAATGAATACAATTAGGCACGCTTTGATGATAGCAGTTAAGTTATTATAAGAACTTGGAAAAATGCCAGTGGATATTATGAGCCATATTTATAGTTTACGCTTTATAGACAAATCGACACCCAGTCATAATAATATTACTACGAAAATGCTTTTTATATTATCTTCTATTATCCTAGAGATAACATGACTCTTAAAAATTACTTTAATAAAGCGTACCTACGTATTTTCTCGTTTCAGATATTTTCAGGGTCTTTGATACCATAATGTTTTGTGACTGTAAAACATTATAAGACCAACTTTATATTATTTCTTCACGGATGAACCGAATTTTATCTATATAATAGTTAAATCACTAAATAAACTTTCATGAGATTGTAATAAATAGTTTTTTTTTCAGATCGAATGCTTTGCATCAGAGATGCAGTAATTACTTACATGCACGCATAAAACTACATTGGTTAAGGAAGTGTTTTATGGCATCATTGCATGTTATTTTCACTTTGTAACTAACCTAAAACTGTATGAGGTAAAGCGTATAAAAGTTGATGAGCTCCTATGCAAATGAACCACTAAGTTTTGTACAAATCCCAAGAAGAGATCAAAAGATGCTACATCTTGTAGTTTTTATTTGAAGTATGCTACCAAGTCGTAGCTTTCAAATGAATTATTTTAAATTTCTTCGCACACCACCAAAGAAACTAAGACAATAAAAAAAAACCGGCCAAGTGCGTGTCGTGCCACGCGCAGTGTGGGGTTCCGTAGGTGCTCGTCGCCACCAAAAAATATTTTGGAAAGAGTCTTTATTTAAAGCAAATACTTCGTCTGAGTGACTTTTTATGTTTTCTTCTAAGGATTTTTTATTAGGTAAGAAATTTTCTAATACATAAGTTGAAGGACTATTACTCTTACACGAACTAATATATTTTAACCATTATAATTTTCCTTTTAAGATCATGGAAAGCACTATTGTCACGATTTTTTCCAGGTTTTTTTTTAGTTTAGCTTTTAGAGGGGGGGGGGGGGGGACGCCCTGCCCGAACAAATATTAACACTTTAACGTTTAATATTTCGCAAACGGACCCCCTAATCGAAAAATCATCTCCAAGTTACATATAGGAGAGCTACCCTAAAGGTTCCTTGTTAGGACTACGGAACCCTAATAAAAACCATTAGGTGCCATTCTATGTAGCTGTTGGTTTAACCAGATATTTGTTTCGGTCTAAAAACATTCAAAAATTATTAAATTAAACTGCGTAAAATTAAACTGAATCTTACTTAGTTTCTTTTTAACAATTTAAAATACGTTTCGAGAGAATCTAATAAACTTGTAGATACTAATAGAAAACAAGGTAAAGTGTTAATAGACACATTGAAAGCGAGGTAGACGTCAAGTTGCATAATAAGACCCTCGTTTATTTATAATAGGAACACTGATTTTATGCACCGCTTACATTATTACAGTTTTTGCACCGAATTTTCTGATCGATTGTTACACTAAGCACCTGACACCATAATGGTGTCGAATGATTCATATCCAATATTCAGCATGGAACAAAACGCTCTTTGAATTTATCTTTTGTTTTTCCACCTTTTTTAGGTCCTTTCGATATATATGTTGCGCTGTTCACCTCTTGAGTGATGAAGAAATATATGGTAATGTTCTAATTCTTGCCAAATCAGCTTTTGTATTAAGAAGATGGTAACTCTAGGTCCTAGTCTGTTTATTTCCGCGGGAAAAAACAGGCGGTTAGTCTACTCTTACAGTCCTTTTCGTCTATATTTAACGGATTCTGATTAGATATTGTACTCGTAGTATATTAATCGTTATTTCAGCTCAATATTGTCTACACTACTGTGTCCATAGGAAACGCACATAGGGCGTCCGAGCAGACCTTTCCTATTCAAGTTCCATGGACGGAATAGGTTGCCCAAAACCTAAAATGAGGACCAAGTGTGAATTGGTGGGTGCTAACGACTACTTTGTACGTACGTGTTGGTGCTAGGTGCGTCTCCATCAGCTTCGCCGTAGCACTCGAAATTTTCCGCGTCTGAGATAGAGTCGCCAGGACTGGAGTCGGCTGTCGGCTCCGACTGGCCAGCTACTTCACCGCCGTTCTGAAATCGACCACACGCATTTTGTAAGATGACTAGACAATTACAAGATTAAAAAGTTGATACATAAGTTTATCGGGTAATATGAAAAGATAAGAAAATAGCTACCGTAGGTTCTAGACTACTATAACGACTCTGGCATATCGTGAATTAGGGAATTTCCAATATGGTATTAATATAAGATCTGTTTTCTCATGATTCAGAGAGAGGAGCCTAGCGCTAGTCATAGTTTCTGTCGGTGAGGGTAGACAAGACTATGGTGACAGCTTATTATCAAGTAGGCCATACTTGTGTTTCGGATTCGCAAGCGATGGGTGAAGCATGAGGATCATTCTATAATATTAAAAACTAGGTCGAGCAAAACAGTAAAAAAAACCCTGTTCTTTACCTGTAGTTTCCTAGGAAGGTTTCCTGGTGAAGATCGGGGTGATTTCGTCCTTTGAAATACACTAGGCGCCATCATGGCCGCCGGAACTTTCACTTCTGGAAATAAATAAAACTCCTATTTAACAAAATACTTGAGTTACTTGCCATAAAGTATGATGTATTATGGAAGAAAAAATAATACTAAAGTCAAATTAAATCCCACTACGTAAAATGAAGTAATAAAACATTTAATAAAGATATTTGCAGTAGTTAAAATTACAGTCATGACGTCAAACATTACTATCTGATGATAGCATTGTATAAATAAGTGCTTGTTTTGTAGACACAGGTGCCATCAGAAACATAAATATTATTAATTTTATATTATTACACCTACTTAAGATTTTTTCACTTTATTAGTCGCATATGATTTATTATATTCATTCGGTTCGATAGAATTATTATAGACTGTGGTATAATGTAATTTAAACAAAGAATATAAAAGAAAGTTGGTTGCATACCATACATTGCTTGCTGCAGCAAACGGATGTACCAGAGCAGTAGTCTGCCAATCAGCACTAAGCTTTGCCACCATATTTCCAAGAGGCTTTTTTCAAGGGCCTTAGTCTTTAAAACAACCACCACTTCGGACATCGAGTCTGGGTGTAAATTTTCCGAATTTATCATTAAGTAGTGTTCTCTTATCGGCAGTTGCAGATTTAATGAATTAAAAGTTATGGTTTTTTGACAACAATGATATTATTATTGCCTTTGCTATAAATTAGTTCCATTCTTCTCCCATATTTGTCAACACAGTCATTTTAAGAATTGTATTTTTGTTTAGAAGTCGCTGACAATTTTTGGAATCACTTTTGGAACAGTTATCACCACTCAATTTTTGTCATTTTATCTTTGGAATTCCAGTACTTCTTTTCATTTGGAAATGGGTCATAAGACGTAGATATGAAGTCGTCGTGAGAGCAGACTTTTCTTATCTGTTACAGTCTGCTTTGATATTTCTCGTGTTTATAGAACACGTTTTCTAATCGCATTACAATTTCTTCACTCCTTACATTTCGAATGTAAAGCTTCGTAATGTCATATTTATATTCTATACAATTTACAAGAAAAGTAATTCACAATCGGCTAGAGACTGATGAAACGTTTTTAGCTGCCATTTATTTACCAATTGCCATAAAGAACCTTACACAATCCTGACAAAGAATACAACGCGAACTCGAATGCATTTTAAGTGTGATTAAAAAGTGATTTATAGAGCGTGAAGTCTATATCCAATGCATTATTATCTTCAGACATTGCTTTCGCCGTGTGTCGACACTTATTTACACTAACTTTAATATTGGAAAACGGCCGTTAAATACAATATTGATCGAATCTTTTATAATACTTCTCATGCGTTCATTACTACTACTATAAAACATGCCTTCAATCCTTTCTACGAATGATAGAATCACAATGTAATTGTAATTTATTGTAATTGTAATGAAATTATGAACAACGACTATTTTGGCTAATAAGCACTGTTGTTAATTTATTAATGTACATACATTAAATCTAATAAAGGGTTTATTACTACATCAAATATTTTAATGAAAAGAATCACACATATTCGTGTTTACATTGTTTTGGTTAGCTATGAAGCAGGTGACAAAACTGAAAATAATAATCTCTTGAGACTCATTAGATTTAAGACCAAAAAACTAAAAAAGATAATTGCCTTTAATAAACAATGAAAAGAAAAGAGAAGCAGAACCAATCCGTATATAGTATATGTGTTAGAGTCAGCTAGAAAGTAGCAACTGTACCAACGTAGAATGATAAGAATGCGGGGATAGCGGTTTGAGCTACGGACGATTTGCCGTTATAGGAAAACTATTAGCTTTACTGTGGTAACAGTTTATATTAGCTTTTAATATCTTCAGATAATCAGATGCACCAACACAGACACTCAGTAACTCTATGTGTCCGTTTGTATCTAGCATGTTTAAATAGAAAGCGAGAATAAAATTCTGATTATAGGTTCGAGTATCCGATACTCTGTTAATAAGAGAGCCTGTGTACACTTCATACCGTCACGCTTTCTTCGTAGATATCTCGGTTAATATGAGTATAAGTAGTTGCATGTTGTTATATTTTAATTAAGACTCATCGATCTAGATTATAGTCAATATCGAACATTGCTGTTGTAGTTATTTTCACTTTCAAAATGTAAATATTTACTTTCTGAAATATGAAACGAAACTTGAAACATTGTCATAATAAAGATGCAATTATTATGTCAATGTTTTAATTCATCAACTATGTCTATGTTTCAATCATTATAAATTTCATCTGCTAATATTAGATGCAATTACATTACTATGTCTATGTTTCACAGAATTATGTTTTTTTTTACTAATTGTTTTATTTTGTTGAGTTCAGTATAAATTATCATAATGATAACAAATATTAACAAGGAAATATAAAGTTTATTAAAAAAATTAAAAGGGCAATCTATTGTAATGTTAAAAGAGGTAAACATACGACAAAAACCCCAGAACTATTACTAAAAAGTATCAGGAACTTTATGTAGAACTCAGCTGCATGCGAAAAGAACTCACATTTCATTTTGACCTGCTGGACAACGATTTGCTAAGTTTACTCACATCCAAACAAATGGCTAAACTTAGCAGGCGAACGTTAATGCTTTCAATAAATAATATTGACGTCACGAATACGGGGTTGGCAGACCGTCAAAGGTGCGGTGTCTAGCATGGGAAATATGAATATACGTTAGTATATAGATCCCTTCTATAACTACCTACACCTTAACAACGCCATATTTGCCTTTAATCGCTCCAAGGTTTGCCATCTTGTCAATCTTCGGACATGTTTGGCCTTTGCTCGGTCGCGTCCGATCAAATACTTATAAGTTCTGAGTGATGTTATATCGTGTTTTTATAGATACAGGTAATCGTTACACTTGCAACCAAGCGGGTTAAGAGGTGGTGAGAATTTAATATTGTTAACACGAGTACCTAGTATGCTGAATCTACTTCATTAAAGCCGATTGTATTTGTTGTGTTAATTGTTTTTCAACATATTGGATCAAAAATTTAATTGAGAGGTTGTGTACATTGTTCGAAAGTTCAAAATTACGGGCCATAAAACGGAGAGTGCGCTAAAACATTTACCGTACGCTCCCATACATGCGCCGTGCGTATCCTTTTCGGTTTTCTTTTTAATTTCGATCAAACGTCCTTGGAACTGCTTTTGAAAAGAAAAAGAGACGAAAGATGTAGTTTTAATTGTCAGCACCCACACGTGACGCCATTTGGAAATGCGCGCCATTATCTTATTAGAAAAAGTTTGCTCCATTACTTAAATTAGGTAGGTTTTGTTTTCTAGCAAATGTGTTGAAAAACGTTGTATGACATTCGTGCGGAATTGGTATTTATAAAATCGTGACTATGGTAAGCCCTCGACCTACTCGTTTGTAATAACCAACTTATTACTTACCGCACTAATATCATAAATAACTATTATAGCAGGTCTAGGTAAAGCTTCACCCCCCCCCCTGATGTTTACTGAGACAGGAGGCTAGTTAAGAAGATAGTTTATCTAATTTCGAGGAGCTGGATGGTGTCAATACATCATCCAGGTCCTCAAAAGACCAATGTCTGCGATCGTGGAAGTCACGCTACTTTTGCAATGGATAGGTGCAAAAAAATTACATCTTGAGCTCCTCAATGCTTTCGTGGTATGTGATTTGGAAATTAATTTCAATAACTGCGAAAAGCCTTGGACATTTACAACATATCCAAAACTTTATAAACGAAGTTTTGGTATTTTCGTCTCAAATATCGGACAAATAAATATAAAGGCGACTGACTCAGCACGGCATCTCAGAAGCAGAAGATGTTTTAATAAAATCGTAAAAAGCTATTGGTGTGTGTAATGTAAGTTCACTTAGGTGTTCATTAAGGGTATCTTTCTTTTCAGTTTTTCTGATTTTTTGGTAACAAAAATCTAAGTGCTAATGGCATTTGTAGTATTAATTATAAGTAGATCAATTTGAAGTGCATTGTTGTTGTTGAATATTTAGCAACACGCGAATACTGTAATAGCGGACTTGCATGCCTCCGGTTCCCAGTTTGCGTAAACCATTGAATGTCCTTCGATTTCGTTAATAAAATCAATGAGTTAAATTGAGCCTTAAGAATGCAACTGAATGTTTTGTAGAAACTATTTTTCAATTATACATTAAAAATGTGACTTGATAAGAAACATTGGTAGTTAAGCCGCGAAGATAAGAATGGATTGTTTTTAGTATGTATTGTTTTAACTGAAATCAAGAAAAATCCAGTTCCGTTTCGATAATTGCTGATGAAAAATTTCGAATCGAATCTTTCTTTTAATAAAAGGGAAGAATCACCCATGTCAATATTATTGCCGATTTGTGTGCCGTTCTTGAAATATTATATACATAGCTACATTTATCTCTGTTGGTTTTCGAAGTTTAGTACGTTAATCAACTCAAGACACTTGATAATGCGATATTTTTTTTCAACACTTGAAAATCACTTGTGCTATTGATCACTGTTATTTTATGATAACAGTTAATTAAAATGCAGATATAACGTATTCTAAACTGTTTGTGTTGATATTAATCCGTTGGAAACATAAGATTGAAGTTACTGTTCGTTTGCGTAGACTCCATAGAGATACACAAATAAAACTTTATATTGCTTTGAAAACACTCGAATCGTCATTGCATGTCGTATAGTTTGGTTATTGTTTAAAATTGTTATTTTAGCTACTATACGTCACCAGTTCGGTATTTAGTTGCTTGTACGAATGTTAATAATACAAACATTCGTTCAGACTTTCTCCTGGGGCTTGGAGCATCCACATTTAACATTTAAATTGTCACTGTTGCGCCACAACACGTTTGTTTGGTATTTACAAAGAACAACATTTAACTTTTTCAACAAAATATTCCAATACCACATTATTTTTTTCTTTTTTATTTCACCAACACATTTTTAGATAACACAAAAAGTCTGCGTTAATTTGTTATAATTTATTTAATTTATTATTTTTTTAACGTACCTAAA